ATATAAGTGTTATATAATTAAATGAAACATGTTATTTAAAATTCGTGCATGAAAATTTCACTTTACAAATTTATTAATTGAAAAAAAAAAAAAAAATATCTACTTTCATGCATGCTTTTTCCAACATACTCCACATTCCTTTGACGTATCTTCTTTTATTCTAAAAAAAAAAAAAATAAAATCAGAATAATATAATAGTATTCTAAAAGGACGATTAGGGTGAATGGAAAGGTATAAAAAAAAGGTTGAATGAGAAATGTGAGAGAGTAGGTTAGGTTAGGGAAAAAACACGTGTTCAACTATTACAATGTTAAAAAAAAACGTTTCTTCGTGAGTGATGATGGTAATAGCAACGATAAAAACATTCTACAAGTGAGACAGAAAGAGAAAGAAAGAGATAATTTAAATTTTCTACCAATAATAATATGCAACGATGTTTCAATGTTAGTATTGGGGGTGGTTGGGTTGGGGTAAGGGGGAATGGGGTGTGAGTGATGACGGTGATAGCAGTTTTCGTCGTTCGTTTTATTCCTGTCGAATTCGTTCTTTCACGGACACGTTGATAGAAAGGTATGAGTTTATGCTAGAAAATAAGAGAGAGAGAGAGATAGAGAGAGAGAAGACACCGTAAAATGGTTGTAGCTTTCGTTTAATAAAACTTAATAGTACGTATAAATTTTTTTGATTAACGTCATATATTTTTGTTTAAAGTGAACTGTCAATAAAGGTACTGAAAGTGCACTGATTTATACATTCTCATGTTTGATTGGTACTGTATATGTACGTGTATATATTTATTTATATGTATATACAAGTTGTTTTTTAAAATATTCATTAACCTTTTTTTTTTCTTATGTATAACATATACATATATATTTTCTTTAAGATATTTGTATAATTACAATTAATTAATTAATCATAATAATAATAGTAATAATAATAATAATAATATACAGAAAAAAAATTAATTATATATTTGAAACAGATAAAAAGAGAAAAAAAAAGAAAGATAAAAGATACATTTATTTTATTATGATTATCTGAAATATTTACAACACTTTACATGCTAACGAGGTTTACTAAATTTGTATTCACTTTATAGAAAATAAAATGAAGACAAAAATATTTCTAGTAACTTTGTAATTTTGTTAATAATTTTCTAAGAAATGTAAATCTTCTTCTTCCTCTATCTCTTAAGAATATTTTTTAAAATGGTCGAGAATCTTGAAACTGGCCCTTTTTTTCTCCTCTCTCGCTCTCTCAACCCTTTTCTTTCCTTTCCTTGTCTTATTTTCTTCAACTTTTTGCAGAGTCATCTCCATCAAATCACGGTTCCAAAGCTAACGACCGCTCGTAATAAGATAAACCAAGCAGGCAAACGGATTGAAGTTTGGTGGATTTTGTTCTCCCTGTTCTTCCAACACTTCCCATTCGTCAACTATTTAAGAGTTTGTTAGTTATGGAAAACTTTTGTCAAATCAGGAAAAACATAATTTTTCTCATGACATTTCTACGAGAATTTGTTGTGTATCATTTTTATCTTTTTAACAAACTTCGAATAGTTTCAAATTATTTTTAATATCATTTTTAATATATGTATTATATATTTTATTATATATAATAAATAATAAAAAAAAAAAAATAATTAATATATAATATACAATACAATATATACTATGTATAATAATATATTATATTAAACATCAAAGTGTTTTATTTGTCTTACTAAAGAAAAATCAGTCACACCCTAACTTAAAAAGAAAACAAAAATTAGCCAACAATTTAGTATTGTTATTTTTTTTGTTATTACAAATTGACTATACCAAATGTAAAATAACATTGCATATACTAAGAAGGTAGAAGGAAGTAGATGTTGTATCTATGAGGGTTAGTTAGATAAAGGGATGGAGAAGGGGTAGAAAATAACCTTTGAATCGTGATGCAATCGAGCTAACGTTCAATAATTTACGAAGCTTGACCTCTATGACAATGGGTGTAACTGTAATGACCTGTGACAGATATATACTCTGTATCTATGCATATATATATATGTATGTATGTATGTATTTAAGTATATAACACGTTCATACGTGTCAATCGCATTTTACGTTAATAACAGTCCCATTACAGGATCGACATAATAATCCAAATGAACGGGACATATCGAAGGAATGGGAAATTTTGATTTTGCGAATGCATGTTGGGCCCTTGTACCATAAACACTTTCAATTGTTATCATTGGTTATAAACAGTAACAACAACAACAACAACAATAACAAATAAAAATAGTATGAATTCTAATTGTTTTCAAAGAAAATAAAAAAAGTTGCTTTTATTGCGATAATTACAAAACTTTCGTGTATGACAACCATCAAACAAATATTAAGAATAAAATAAACATAAATAAATT